TTCTTCTGGTTGTGCGAGGAGGCACAGTGTGTCCACCTACGCCTCCGTCTCGGCCGCAAGTCTGAAAACAAGTTCTAAAAACCACCCCCTCCTCCACCAACGCTTAGACCTCGGTTAACTAGATTTTTTTTTGAACTAGAATAATTTAGGAAAAGCGTCTCTGCAGGTGAGGACAAGGTATAGGTGGTCACCTATGTCCTGTCGGGGTCCCAGGGGCAGGAGCCTCGGCTTCCCGACCCAGCCGCGCGCTCAGCGAGGCCGGTCTCTGCCGCGAGTCCTCCCCCTCGCCCCCTCCCTCCACGGACGCTGACGGGGCTCCTGCCACAGCCACCGGCCGGCTCCGCTCTCACCGCCGACCTCAGCTGGAGCCTCGGAGCAAGCGTCCTGCTTGAGAGAGGCGGCTGCCGAGGTACGGACGGTAACTCAGGTAACAGTACGGGGATGGGGGAGAATAAAATATGGTGGTGTGATGGATACTAGAGAGATGGGATAGACAGATAGGTAGAAAAATGCATAATGGATGGATGGATAATATGGGTGGGTGGATGGATGGACGGACAGACAGGTAGAGATCTAGAGATACAGACAGTGCGACTTGTCTTTGGGAACCGGAGAGGCCTCACCACTGAGGCTCCAGCAAGGTGAGGCCTGGGGGCGGATGTTTAAGACTCCGCAGGCAGGGAAGGCCCGGGAGCTGCCTCGTCCGGGCCGCTGGCGCCCCTCCGGCCTCTGCTCGCGGTGCTTTTCGACCCAACGTTGGCGCCCCTTGCCAGCCTCACAGTCCTGCTGCTGAGAGGGCTCGGGCCGCGTCCCTGGCTTCCTGTCCGCGGGGACAGGGAGCCAGCCGCCTTGTTGCCCAGGAAGTCGCCAGGCTCAGGAGCCAGGGCTCTGGGCCACTCGGCAGTGACCACGGCAGGGAAGTTGGCACAGGGCTGGGACGCGGTGGACCGCCCCGCCTTGTCCCAGGCCACCGGGAAGGGACACAGAACCTGGCCTGGCCAGGAGCGTTGGCGGTCCGCCGGCCGGGCAGCAGCACGGGCCACCGTGTCGGGCCCCACACAGCCCTTAGCAGCCCTCATCTGCACCTCCTCTGTGGCACGGACACCGCTCTGCACCCCGCCTGCCTTCCTGGGGCTGTCACTCAGCACTCAGCAGAGACACGTGCAACCCCTACCCTGCACCCGGCCCCAGGGTCTCGGAAGAAAGGGTGGAGGACGCTTCCTAGGGCTCCGGCCTCCCCGGCACCTGACAGCACTAGCTGGTGACACACGTGTCCCCGCGCTGTCACCAGCGGCCTAGTCACCTCCCCCAAGGTGTGGAGCCCCCACAGTGAGGGCAGGCACTGAGCGAAGTTTGAACAGGGGGTGTCATCCCCCCCAGAGCCAGCCCGGGGCCAGTGCCCGGGTACACGGTTCAGTCTTTCTAAAGGGTCTGTTGGCCTCACGGGGACACACCCCGGTGCCGGCCGGTCAGCTTTGCTGGGCTCGGGACGAACGGACGCTCCGGACGAACAGGTGAGCTGGGCGGACAGCAAGCGAGTCCCCTCCGATCCCCAGCCTCCAGGCCTTGCCAGGCAGGGCCCCGAAGGTCAGAGCCTCCCTCGGGACCTCAGCGTCCACAGATCCCCCCAGACTCCCCTGCCCCGTGAAGCCAGGCCTGGCATCGACCATGCCATCTGGATGACCTCCGAGGTTCCCGGCACCAGGAAGTCACTGCCCTCCCGACCCCGGTCCTCGGTCACCTCCCCTCAAGCACCCACAGAGCAAGGGCGGGTGCTAGAGCGCCCTGGGGGGCGGCAGGAGCCCCACTGCCCAGCTGGGGCAGGGGGCCTCGGGTTTCTGTTCCGAAGTTTTACGTTCTGGATGTTTCACACACGGCCTTCTGATGGACTCATCTACCGGGAAGCTAAAGATACCCTCAAATAACTAAAAATAAACCAGAACTGCTAAAAATTCAGCATTTCTCCCCCTCGCCCGCGCCAGCTGGGCCTGTCTGCTTTCCCTCCAGCACCATCGGGCCCACAGACCAGACGCACAGAGTGAGAGCTGCCGCCCAACCGCAGCGTGCGCGGACGCCCTCGGGTGGCGCTGAGATTCCCTCCCTCCCTCCCTCCCTCCCTCCCTCCCTCCCTTCCTTCCATTTCTTTTCTCTTTTCTTTTTTTCTTTTCTTCTTTTCTTTTCTTTCCTTTTCCTTCCTTCCCTCCTTCCATTTCTTTTCTCTTTTCTTTTTCTTTTCTCCTCTTTTCTTTTCCTCCCTCCCTTCCTCCCTCCCATCCTTCCTTCCTTCCTTCTGTTTCTTTTCTGTTTTCTGTTTTCTTTTCTTTTCCTTCCTTCCTTCCATTTCTTTCCTTTTTCTTTTTCTTTTCTTTTCTTTTCTTTTCCTTCATCCCTCCCTCCCTTCCTTCCTTCCCTCCTTCCATTTCTTTTCTTTTGTCTTTTCTTTTTCTTTCCTTTTCTCCTCTTCTTTTCTTTTCCTCCCTCCCTCCCTCCCTTCCTTCCTATCTCCCTCCCTCCTTCCCTCCCTTTCTCCCTCCCTCCCTTCCTCTCCCTCCCTTTCTTCCTCTTTCTTCTCTCTCTTCCTCCCTCCCACCCTCCCTCCTCTCCTTCCTTCCCCACTCCCTTCGGTTCTGCGGCTCAGGCCACTTTACGTTGCCATTTAGGCGAGTTTCGTCCCCGTGTGGTGTCCGGGGCGTCCTCCCTCTGGCTGCTGCCCCTGAGGGACCTGCTGGCCTCTGGGAGCACCACACGGAGACCCTGAGGGACAGTCCGGGGGGCCCCACAGAGCCCAGACCTCACATCCAACCCCATTTCCAGGGGGACTTTCACACAAATGTCTGCCGTGGAAATAATCAGGTAAATTGATAAGACGCCCTCCTCCCCACAAACTACAGAATGCACAGTCAGCAGACCAGTGGGAAGAACGAACCTACTAAACACACAAGTTCGCCCTCCACCTGCTTACGTCACCGGGGTCCTGGGGGGAGGCCTTGCAAAGGCGGGGGTCTGCAGGCCCCGTGGGTCTCCCCGGGGTGTTGTTAACGCACAAGGAAGGCATCAGTTTCGAAGGGATGAATGGGAGACACTTTTCTGACTTATGGTTAGAAACAGAAAAAATGGCAATGCCATGAAATACAGCGTCTGCAAACCCATTTCGGAAGACAAACACTGGGTTGGCCTGGGGCGCCCCGGGTGGCCCGGATTCAGGGGGAAGGGTGTGAACGGCCAGCAGACGGGCCTTTGGAGGGAAATCTAGCGCCTTTCTGTCGACCCCGCAAGTTCCACGTGTGGTGTGGGGCCTGGGAGAGGGTCTGCGTGTGAGGAAGAGCGGGATTCACCAGCGGGCTGGCCAGGGCAGGTGGGCGGAGCTTACCTGGGCAGGTGAGGGGCCCCGGCCCTGCCCCCATTCCTGAGGCTTGGCTGTGGAAGCAGGTGCCCGCCTGGTCCTGTGCCACCCCAGCCGCCTGCCCCTGCCCCCGTGCTGTGCTCGCTCCGCCCCTTCGCTGCTCTTACACACTTGCCCCCTGCCAAGCGGGTGCCAAGGTGGGCGCCCTGGGAAGTGCTGGGTGTCACTGTCACAGAGGCCACATGTAGCCATTGGCTATAGTGTCACCCCCACCAACACCCAGGGGGAGCCTGTATCAAGTGCCGCTGGGACTGCGCCCACGTCAGCGGCAGCCCACAGACGCCCCTCCCCCGGTTTCCACGTCCCACGCACCCCTGGGTCTCCAGACAGACCCCCTGTCCAGAGAGTGGCCGGGAACCAGGAGCCATGTCCACGCTCCGACAGAGGGGTGGACCTGAAGCCCCACGCTCCTCCCCACACTGTGGCCTGAGTCACGGCAGCACCACGGCCGGCTTCTGGGTGCCGCGCACCGAGAGGCCACGCCCTGTCCTGGGAGACGCGGGGGCAGCCCTGCCGCCGGGGAGGGACCTGGACCAGATGAAACTACAGCCTTAGATTGGCTGCCACTCCGTACCCAGCAACTGCACTGTGAGGGGTGGGCCCCGAAGACCCTGTGTGGGGGGCCGGGCATCAGGGGGGCTCCCCGAACCCGGAGGTCACCGGTCTGGTTCCTGGACAGGGTCGGTGCCCGGGGTGTGAGCTCAGCCTCCATCCGGGACACCGGCGAGGGGCGACAGGTGGAGGTTTCTCTCTCAGCTCGACGGTTCTCTCCCTCTTTCTCCGCCCCTCCCCCCTCTCTAAAAATGAATGCCTCTCTTTAAAGAGGTCACCAACGAGGTGCCGTCCCCGTCGTCCCCACCGCTCAGAGGGGACGACTCCCAGTGTTAGGGACGCTGACCAGGAGTGAGGGGGAGACAGACGGTGCAGGAAGTGTGTCCCATCTGGGGACAGTGCCGTCATGGTTCTAGGTGCGGGGGGGGGGCCCAGTGTGTGGTGCCCACTTCTCAGAGGTGGCCTGTGACTCGACACCTTTAGGGAGAGCAGTGGCACCTTCTGCTGCAAGCAGCGACCTGGAAAAGCAGAACCAAACGGGACAGTAGGGCCTAAGAAGGTGGGAGAAGGGCGGGGTGCCCTGGGCATTTCCCTCCCAGAGGCCCCTTGGACGAGACTGGGGGAGGGGCTCGCTCAGGGGGTCCCCATGGTTCCAGTGGGGCCGGCTGCCAGGTCCTGGGACCTGGGGCCTGGGGTGTGCCCAGCCCTGCCGCATGTGCCTGGGTCAGAGGTCACCTTCACAGATGAGCAGCTGCCCACCGCCACCTCCCTGCAGACCCCACGGCAGGAGGGTGGGCTCAGACAACCGCTCCCAGGCGGCCACGCCACAGGCCGCCCGCATCGGTCGTGTCCGGACCAGGCTCCCGCACAGCCCAGCCTCCCCCGCAGCAGGCTCCTGGCCGCGGAAGGCGGCGAGGTCACCCACGGTGCCATGAGAATTTCTAAAACAGGGACACTGACCTCTTTTCCTTTAGACGGTCAAAGAAAACGGACAACGGACAACACAAAGTAGACGTCTGGCGTGAGTGAATCAAAACTACATGTATTTTGTTCATCAGGTCAGCCAAAAGCACAGTTTATTTTCTGGTGTGAATCGGTTGCGTGTGCTGTGAGGGGGACAAGGGTGGGCGTGGCGGGTTTAAGGCGACACGGGGCTCTGTGGGCACCCAGCCCCTGCCCCTCCTGGGGATCCCCGGCCCCCAGGGACTAGACCCCAAACTGCACTTTGGTCTTCAGCTCCGTCTCGATGAAACCCACCAGGACGTCCGCCAGCTGCCGCTGGAGCCTCTCACTGCGCATGACCAGGTCCATCAGCTCCACATTGTCCATCCAGTCCAGGTTCCAGAGGACGGTCTTGACCTTGTCCAAGAGCTTCTGCTTCTGGTTATGTGACAGCTGCTGGAGAATCTTATAGACGGGCTTAAAGGGCTTGTCCGACATCCCAGACCCCAAGAGCCCCCCGAGGACGCCGCCTGGAGGACAAGGAAGGCTCAGTGAGTCGGGCCTGTTCACAAACGGTGTCCTCGGCAGCGGCGGCCCAGCTGGACGCAGTGACTCTCTCTGGGAGAGCAGCGCACAGGGGACGCGGCACCGATGTCACCTGGCAACACCCCCTGACCGGGTGACCCAGGTGATCGTCACCTCGAGGTGCCGGGGACGTTGGTGCCCCTGATGCGGAGCTGTGGGCGGGGAGCTCCCCTCAGCGGGGTGCTGCCCACGGCCCATAGCCCCAGGACGGTCAGCAGAGAGGCAGCAGCCACTCCCGGGCGCAGCGGGTCCACAGAGCACCCGGCGGCCACCCCGCCACCCTCTCACGGCCGGGAACGCCAGCCAGGTCTGAGGGACGGTCCCAGGCCCGGGGACCAAGGACACGTGGTATCAAATGCCACGTAGTATCTGTCGTGAGCGGGACCCCGGGACAGGAGAGGGTCAGTGATGGGAAAGCTGGTCACCCCATAAAGCCAAGTCCGGGGACTAGGGACTCGTAAGGGGACCGCGCTGGCTTCCTTCCAGCTGTGACAGCTGTGCCTGTCCCCTCGTCAGGAGCGTCAGGGGGGGTGAAACGGGGGGGACACGGGATTTCTGTCCTCTGTCTTTGTAACTTCCCTGTTCCTGTGACACCCTTCACGAGAAGTTTCTCTGAAGGACGCAGCCGGGCCAGAGAGCACCCTCTCAGGGGGCATGGGGCACAGCCCCCCACCCCCACCCCCACACGGCCCAGGGGAGAGAGGCCGGCCCCCCACCCAGGAAGAGGCACGGTGCCCTGGGCCGGGCTGCCCTCGGCCTGGAAGGACAGGAGCCACCTGCGGAGGACGGCCATCGCTGACACGTGTCACCGAAGTCTCCCCAGGACACAGGCAGTGTGCACACCGCCCTCAGGAGCCGTCTCCCCCTCTCTCTACTTCTGCGGGACCATCAGTCTGTGACCGCGGGCAGCGGTCAATGCCAAGAGTCACGGGAACGGTGACCAGCTACCTACCCACTCTCTGGAGAAGAGAAATTCCCGTTTCCTGGGAAACGGAGGCTCCTGCCCGTGACTGGGGTGGCAGGCAGCCACCGCCCCCTCCCCTGCGGACCTGTCTTCTCCAGAAGCCCCTACTCAGTCCCGCAGAGGCACCCCCCACAGGGCGTCAGGGCGGGGCTACGGGGCAGGTGGAGCCAGCCGGCCTCCCCTGAGCACCTCAGAGCAGGGGACAGACGCAGACCCGATCACTGAGGCGGGAGGTGCGGGCTTGTGGCCCCCCTCACCCGCCACCGCCTGGCGGCTGCAGCCGGGACTCACTGACACAGAGTGGAGAGAACATGCAGGGGTGGGAGGTCTGGGGGGCCACACGCTGCCTCTCCCCCTCTGGGGCCCCCGCCCGACGACACGTCTAGGATGTCCATCCTGCCACCCCAGGGACAGCAGCCCAGGAGGCCGGGCCGGTGAGCCTGGCAAGGGGCGCCCCCAGGCTGAGAGGGGTCACCACCCCAGCATCGGGAAAGGATCCCCCGGGACCGAGGACCAAGAGGCCCTGCACCTGGCCCAGGCTGCCTGGTGCCCGGGGCCGCCCGGGAGTCTCTGCTGAGCCCGTGTGCCAGGCGGCTCCGTTCCTGCAGCGGGTGGCCCTGGGCTGTGGGGCCCATCACAGGCCCCTCCCCAGGCCAGGCCGGAACACACCCAGCCCCCAGTTGGAGTCACAGCCCACGGTGCTGGTCACCGCTGGTTGCTCTGGTCACAGTCCGGGGTTTGAGTGACAGCCCATGGCCGGGCCCCTGGGGAATCTCCCTGTCCCTAGTCCAGAGGAAGCAAGGTCACCCTCCCTCCCAGGGACCAGGGGCCATCAGCCCAACTTCATCCACTGGCAGGTCCTGGTTCCCACATGGGAGCAGGGGGGGACAGGAGGGCAGGTGACTCTGTGGGCGGTGGTTGGCAGCTTCTCCTGCCCGGGACACTTTGGGAGCGGGACGCCCTCTCTGAACAGCTCACGTAAACTGACAGACGGCACGTGCCCCTGTGGGTGCCCCTCCTGAGGGCACCTGTAATGAGGATGATGGGGGAGGGGCCACCCAGGGACACCCTGAGGCCTCAGTCTGCAGGACACATCCCTGGGCAGGGCGTCCTCCGGGTCTGTGGGACACGGGGGCCATTTGCAGACACCTGCAGGTCGGAGACTCGGACACAGGGGCCGGTGTTTCCCAGGACGCGGTTTGTGACAGAGACCGTGTCTCAGAGGCGACCTCAAGGCCACCCCTCCTCACGCAGGACGCGGCCTGCTCTGAGGGCTCTGGGGACCTGAGGCCTTTGTCCCACAGCCCCCCGGCTCGGCTGCCCCTGTGACGCACTGGCACTTACCGACAATTAGTCCCGGTGGGCCACCAATGATGGTACCAAACAGGGCCCCAGTTATAGCCAGCGGGGCACTCTTATTAGAGGGCTGGACGGGCACTCTCATTTTCTTCTGGTCAGAAATGGAGCACAGCAGCCTCATGACATTTTCCACCGTGACGGGCATCTCGGCGGCCTGGGAGGAAGTGTTTCCGGAGAGAGTCTGGGGAGTGTCAGAGCGTTGCCACCCAAAGGCGACTCTCCCCAGAGTTTGGGGGACGGGTTCATATTTTCGGGAAAGCACCACAGCTCCCCTGTGCGCATGAGGGACAGCACCCAGTCATGTGACACCTTCTCTGTCACCGAGAAAGCAGGGCTGCGGCCAGTTCATGGGCAAACAGAAGCAGCGGGGGGATGGAAACTCTTCTGTGGTTTCCAGTGACCTCTGCCCGGGGACAGGGAGGGACCTGCCCGCGTTCAGTGCAAGTGAGGCAAGGCCTGGCCGAGTGTGGGGTGTCCCACCCAGTGTCCTCTTGGGAGATGTCCTCCTGGCCTCTCCCAGACAGGACATCTGGGCTCAGGACAAGCCCGAGGGGGGAACTGGGGACTCGGCCACCGAGACACAGGCCTCACACCCTCCCCGCTGGCACTGGGACTCCAAGCAGGGTGTTGGGTCCTGGACTGTGGGGTGGTCTCCCCCCCAGGCTGGATTCTGGAGGGGTGAGGGGAGCGCTGCCAGGTGCCCGGGGAGCGGGGGCCCCGCAGACCCTCGGACGTGGTGGCTCTGGGTCAGCATCCTGCCGCTGACCCCCACCCCCGGCCTCCAACAGCCATCCACCCACGTGTCCTCGCCAGACAGGATGAGGCAGAACAATGAAACAGCCAGAGAACCCCAAAGAGAAACCAAACAGTCCCAGGGTCTAGCGTACCTGTGGTGGGCGGCAGGGGGAGGAATCGACCTTTGGAACAAATAAATCAGAGGAACTCTCTCCAGTGGGAGGCGGTTTGCTGCTACCCCTGGTCTGGGAAAGGCAGGCAGATTCCGGAAGTGACAGGCCAGGGGAGGGCAGCCCAGGCGGGCTCTGCCCCCGGTCCTGGGTTTGGAGCGCCCCCACCTGGCCATGCTGGGAAGTAACGACACAGAGGACCCTCTTCCCCGTTCAGCTGGAGCCAAGGCTGGGGCCCCGCCCCTTCCCGCTGCCCCGCCCCCTGCATCCTGGGCTGACCTGCAAACACTCACTGGGGGGATGCAGGGGGGCTTCGCGGGCCCACGCTGATGCCCAGCCTCTTCTGGTTGGATGAGGGTGCTCTGAGCAAGGAGTGTCCACGCCCGTGTCTCATGTACCGGGACCCCCCGAGCCCCGGGAAGGAGCTGCGAGTTCTCAGACCTGCCCTGCGGACCCTCCCACCCCACACTCAGGCTCCAGAACGCCCCGCGCTGCCGGGAGCGCTGGGGGGTCCCGGGCTCAGAGCCTGCCTCTCCCCTCTCTCCCTCCCGCGGTCCCTGGGACCAGCCATGGCCCACAGGGCACCGGCGGCCCTGAAGGTCCTGTGGACCTGGCCAGCTGTGAAGCAGGAAGGGGCTTGGGGGCCTCACTGGGGGAAGTCGGCACACTCACGAATGTCCCATTGGCAGGGACGACGGAACCAGCACTGGGTCCCCCCAGCCCCTGCCCAGCATTTTGGCCTCCCCGTAGCACAGGGCCCCAGCCCGGATCTGTGTCCCTGTGGGTCAGGGGTCGGCGGTCTGCCCACCTCCGCCGCCTGTCCTCTAAGAGCAGGGAAGACCACACCTGCCTCCTGTCACCACCTGGGCGGGGGGGAGGGGCATGACACTCCCAGCAGGAGTTGGGGACCCCAGGCCAGGCTCGAGGCAGTGCGCCCTGAGCCCCACAGCCCGTGCCGGGGGCCTGATGCCCAGACGTGGGCACCGGCTGTCTGTGCTCGGAGCGTTCCTGCCTTGGCCCCTGCGCCTGCTGCAGTGGCCGCGTCCTGGCCAGCGGGCACCGGGCCCTGTGCTTCTGCTCTCCCAGGTGTGGCACTGCCGGTGGCCTGCATCCCAGTCAGGTCCCTGCACCGCACTGAGCGGCGGGGGGGGGGGGGGGCAGCGGCAGGGATCCTGGTCTGAGGCCCCGTTCAAGGGCAGGGTCAGGGCCGCGGTGGGTGGCAGGCGGCGGGCTCTGGGCCCTGGGCCCCTCGAGCCTGGTGCGTGCTGTCCCTGGGAGCTGCGGCCACCCTGCCGCTCACCGCCCACTGTCCCGGCGGTGCGGAACGGCCATTCCTGCTGCCTTCCACCCCGCTCCAGGGAGCAACCCCAAACACACACCCCGGCTCAGCAAACACGCTTGTTTGACAGCTTGAGCGTTAAAAAGAGAAACCAACACATGTCGCATGAAGCGAAGCTCACTTCCCACAGCACTCAGTGGGGGGCTCCTCAGCTCTCGGGGGGGGGGGGGGAGGTGGGCAGCAGCCTCGGCCCCTGGAGGTCACGCCTGCAGAGGGCCCGGTCCCTCCCACGGACGGAGGCCTGGAGGGGCCAGCCCACGTGGCCGGGATGGCTGAGGCTCCGCGAGAACAGGTCCTGGGACTTGAGCAGGCCTCAGGACACGGACCCCCAGGTCAGTGGTCCTCAGGGGGGTGGGGGAGCAGTTCTCCCCCTGGGGGCGCACTTGGGTTGTCTGGAGACTTGTTTGGTTTTCACAGCTTGGGGAGGAGCGCTCCAGGTGTCCGGAGGGGAGGGGCTGGGAGTGCGGGGAGCTGGCACCCTAGCGCGCAGGGCAGCCCCACGGCAGGGGCGCACCGGGCCCTCGGGCTGGGTGGTGCCCAGGTGGAGAAGCCCAGGGACCACGGAGGCTGTGCCTGTGGGGCCAAGGGTCAGCCCTGCACACACACGAGGGTCCTTGCGCAGAAGTGCCACAGCGCAGGGTAGAGGGGAGGGTGGGTGGAGGGTGGGGCGGCGGCCCCTGGCTGCCGGGCAGCACTCCAGAGCCCGAGGTTTGCATGGTACAACCTGGCGTCCAGGCCCTCCCCCCCCAAAGGCGTCCCGCGTTTCCTGGAGGCGTTCTCAGCAGGGTTCACCGTGGACATACTCAGGCAGGCATGCAGGACACAGCCCTGCCGGCTGCACTCCTGCCCCGAGGGAAGGCCTGACACCTGCAGGGGATGTGGGGGGGGGTGTTGGGGGAGGCCCTCGGGAGCCCTGTGGGCGGGGGCTCGGCCGGGCAACCCTCGAGAGTCACTGCTCACTCAGCAGGCACGTGCCGACCCCTCCTGTGTGCGGGCAACTCACGGGGCGGGGGTGCTCCCGGTCCAGTCCCAGAGGCCAGCGTCGGACACAACCCGCCCAGGCTGGTCGTCGTGGGTGCGGGAGGGAGATGGGGGCCCAGTGGGTTCCCAGGGCATGGGGGGGTGGGCGCTGTGCCGTCCCAGGCCGCCTCCCTCGGAGGCCCCCCCTCGTGGGGCCCCTTCTGCGCCCCCGTGCCCACACGTGAAGTCCCTCCTCCCCGGACCAGCCCGGCAGTGGTCAGGGCCACCCTGGGGACAGGGGCCCCTGGAATCTGCATCCCCGATCTCCGAGGTCGCCATTGTGCCCAGCTCACAGATAAGGACAGTGAGGCCTTATTTGCATGAGGCCTGCCGCAGGGCGTGTGGGGAGCCCGGCCGGGCAAGATCGGCCAGTTCGAGGCAGCCAGTGGGACGCCTCCCCCCTGCTGGCTGCCCCCAGGCGGTGGGTGCGGAGGCCTGTCGCTGATACTGGGGTGCTGGAATCTGGGAGGGGTGGTCCTGGTTCGGCGTCAGTAAACCAGGAAGCCACCCTCAGGGTCCCTGTCGCAGCCGGGCCTGTGTTGTGGGACGCCACTGGCCCTCGCCCTCAGAGGGCCCGGGGGAGGAGCTCTCCGGGGACGGCAGTCTTCCGTGGGCAGCCCGGGGTAGCCATGACTAGGGGCGCGTGCCCACCTGGCCTCCTGGCCCCTGCACGAGGCCTTCCTTCACCAGGTGCCTGCCCCGGGCTCCCCTCCCCCCGGCCCTTCCACCCCAGGGCTGAGGCTGGCTGCGCTACTGCTGCCGGCCATCAGAGGGCGCCCGGCCCAGAGGCTGCTCGCGAGGCTGCCCGCAGCATCTTCAGCAAGAAACCGGGACCCCAGGGGCAGTTCCCCCTCGCCCCGCCCCCGCATGGGCCTCCTGGGGCCTGTGGGTTTCTGCAGCCAGTCCTGTTAGGGGCTCAAGCTCCTGACCGCGTCCCCACTTTGTGCCTCATTCTGCAGAAAGTGTGATTAGACCCCTCAGAGAGCCCCGCAGAACCCCTGCTCTGCCCCTGGGTGCAAGCTGCGTGTGCCGTGGGCCAGGGAAGGGAGGGGCTTGTTGGCTGGGGAGGGGCTGAGCTTTGCCGCGGGAGCCCCTCTGCCTGCACTCAAACCCCCCTCCCAGCTGCGCGGCCTCAGGAGGGTTACTTAATCTCCCCGTGCCTCAGTTTACCCTTCCGTGAAACGGGGACAATTGGAGTGGCTCTCTTGGGGATTCAGCAGGGCTGCCCAGGGAGGTGCTGGGCATGATGTCAGCATGTGGTACATCTTAGCGCCTCACCCTCATGATATATGGAGATTGTGTGTGTGTGTGTGTGTGTGTGTGTGTGTGTGTGTATTTGCATTTGGGCGGAGCTCCGTGTACTGACGCATTCCTCGGTCAGGTCATTTCCTGTGTGTGCCCTGACCTGGGATCGAACTGCAACCACAACCGAGGTGCATCAGGACGATGCTCTAACCAACTGAGCTACCCAGCGTGGCTGGGCTGAGTCTTTTTAATCTTCATGGAAGGGCATGTTTTTAATTGATTTTTAGAGAGAGAGGAAGGGAGGGAAAGAGAGAGAAGGAAACATTGATGTGAGAGAGAAACATGGATCAGTTGCCTCCCACACACACCCCGAACAGGGGTTGAACCTGCCACCTTTTGGTGTACAGGATGGCGCTCCAAGCTACTGCCTCACGGGGCCAAGGCGGGCTGAGCGCTAAGAAAAGGCGACCAGGACCGACTAGCCAGCAGGCAGGGGCGCTGGGTGGGCAGAGTCTCTCCAAGCTGAGGGCAAGGGCGTCGGGGCTGGAGGCGGGGCTGCGTTTCAGAGCCCTGGGCCGGCTCAGGCCCCGGCGGCGGCGGCGGGGACAGGGGAGGCCCAGGGGGGCTGCCCAGCACCCTCCGCCCACCCCCGCACCGGCCCCGAGCAGGAGGTTTCTCTTTCTCCTTGTTCTTTTTCAGAAAGAACACACTCATCTCTCACAGTGTGCGGCAGCCAGGAAAAGCACGTTAATCTTTAACGTGTTAGCAAAACAGCCTCCCATTTGAATACCGGCTCGTTCTCCCATCTGCGGCGGAGCGCACAGGTTGCTGCGCGGTGGCAGAAGGCCTCCGCCGCACGCCAGCCGGCGGCGGGCGCCCTGCGCCACCACAGAGCCGTCCCCCGCCGCGCCGAGGACCCCCGTCCCGGGTCTCACCCCAGCCCCTGCCGCTGCACGGGGGGGCTCGGATGGCCAGAGGAGGCCGGCAGCACCCCCAGCCTTGTACACGCTTGCCTCAGATTTGTGGATTTTGCAGACCAGTTGAAATACCCCTCCCCCCAGAATCCAACAGGAGAACTTAGGTTTGCAAGGAAAGCTGACCTAGAAGAAACAATCCTATCATCCGCGGTCCCCTTCAGCCACCCAAGAACGCAAAGTTCGAGATTAAAAAGGGAAGAACGCCAGAATTAGAGGTTTTTCCACTGAGCAAATTTAGCTTTATGAAGACTCACCATTTTGTCTTTGTTTTCCTCTACTGGGGGCTAAAACTAACCTCGAACAATCTGCAGGTGCACCCCAAGGAGCTCAGGAGTCCGGCGCCTTAGACGTGCCGGCCGGACCCTGCCCCACGCCACCGCCGGGGCGCCTGGTCCCAGCCCGCAGCTCCTGCCCCTCCCACCACCCCGGGGACCGCGCTTGGAGACTTCGTCCTGGGGAGACATACGCTGCTCCGGAGCTTGTCAAATGGCAAAGAATCAGGGATGGAATAAATAGCAATATTTT